TGGGACGTGGCGGGTGTGGTGGGACGTGGCGGGTGTGGTGGGACGTGGTGGGTGTGCAGGCTGCTGGCGCAGACCTGGAGTGAGATACAAAGAATGGTCGGTCAGCTCTGTCTTCAGCTGCTCCATACGTGATCCACTTGACTGCCTTGGAGCCTCACAGCGCCTTCCTTCTGTCTAGGGGAATGAGGTCCTAGAGGAAGAGGATGGATCCCCCACGCAGGAAGAGGGTAAAAGCCCTGGTCCCTGTCCTCTCCCATCTTTCTTTCCTGGGTGCTCTTTTAGAAGGAAAGGAAGGGGTGCAGATTCACGTGTGGGGGGGGAGTTTGCGTTTCTGGTGACATACCAAAGCAGGGTATCTGATGGTCTCTGGGACCGTCCCAGCTCTTTCTGGGACACAGAGCCCTGGACGGCAGGACGAGGACACTGCGGAAGATAACACTTGTTCCATGTTAAGTAGCTTCTGGAGTTTTGGAGGCCCCTCCCTCGCCTCCTTCCTGCTGCAGCTTCTCAGCTGAGCCCATCGCGCCTGCTCCGGCAGCCTGGTGTTTAGGAGAAGCAGAAAGCAAGCTGCTTGCACGTAGTAGAAGGGACTGCTTGTGAGTCCTTTAGGTTTGCTTCAGCTGAAAAAAGCAGTTGTCTCTGTTAGAGAGGCCCTTGGGAGCCCGTGGCCACGTTTAGGTGAGCACAGAAGCTGACACCAGCTCATGAAATGCTGTCTGCCCCATCATCCAGGCCTGTCCACCTTCTACCTTCAGCTGGAAAGCTTTAGTTTCCACTTGAGCTAGGAGAGAAGAGCTGGCCTGCAGAGTAAGGAACTAGGAGGAAGAGGGCCTGGGAAACAGCCTGAGAGGAAATCCCAGGAACACTGGAGCCAGTCTCCTTTCTCTGCTGCTCTGAGCCAGTTCTGTGGACGGGCACGCCCACAGCACTCGGGGCCCAGCCTGGACGCAGCCTGCCGTCCACAGATGTCAGCCTGGGCGCTTCTGCTTTAAGTGCTGGCCGCTGCTTGGGGAGTCTCAGCGTGTGCATGAGAGCAGACACAGCCTAGCTACCCCGGTGAGGAGGACGCTGAGGCCATGCCCACCAGCCCTAGAGGGCACTCAGAGGGTCAACGGCAGGTGTGCACGACCCGAGTCACCTGGGGTTTGCTTGCCCCCATAGGCCTTTTGGCCCTAAAAATGGGAGATCGCCTACTTGTTCCCACCTGCCATGCCAGTTTGTGCTGTCTGCTGTCTTCACCAAGAAGGGGGGAAGAGCTGGAAAAGATCATTTCTGAAACCTTCTCCTCTGAAATGGCAGGCCCTGAACACATACTCAGAATTACAAAACCAATCCAGTTTGATCCAGGAGGAAATGTCAGTTTTGTAAATGTCATGATTTCAAGCTAATAAGCAAAACCAGGAAGTCTTTAATCCTTGTCTTTCATTTACCCATTTTGTAGAACCTTCTGGTGCTAAACCCCTCGCCCCACCATAGATACAGCGACAGATCCTGGTTCTCACAGGCCTCTGATGGCACTGCTCTGCCCTCAGCCGTGGCAGAACCACAGATGAAGGGACCACCTAGGAACACAGCAGGATAGCGACAACAGTCACGCCACCCAGCTTTATTGTCCACTCTTTACCCACTTAGTTATTGTCTTTTTTTTAACATCTGATTTGATTTGTGTGTCTCCATCCTTAAGATTTTGATTTTAAGGACAGCAAAGCAGAGGACAATGCAGCCAGCCCCTCTCTAACTGCATTAACTCCGTTACAGGCCAGAGGACAAGCGCATTTCTAGGTATGGAGTGTGACAATAACAATGACTTTGACATCGCAAGCGTGAAAGCACTGGACAATAAGCTGTGCTCTGAGGTCTGCTTACCCGGTGAGTGGCAGTCTGCTGAACATGAACTTGGTGGGAGACAGCCCCCGACTCTGACCCCTGCTCTCACCCTGTGGCCCCCCATCTTCGGCCCTGCAGTTTGTAGGAGGAAGGTGCAGGGTGTGCTAAGATGCTGAAAGAAGTTGCCCAGACAGTGAGGACCCAGGAGGGCCCTGGAGCTTTTTGCAGAGAGCAACCCCTGCTCTGAGTGAGGTTAGGATGGAGACAGAGCACTCACACACCCGCCAGTTCAACGACTCTGCTTCAGTTGAGTCTCCCTCAGCTCTCCATCAAGACTCTGCAGGAAGCAGGTCAGGTGGCCTGAACTTGCTGTCAGCAGCAGGAAACCTGAGACAGACAAAGAAGTCCTCCCTGGGCGGGGCATAGAGAGAGCCTGAGCCCTTCAGGAGGCCCTGGCACCCTGTGTGACAGCAGGGACCAGAGAGGAGCTTGAAGCTAGCAAACGGGTAGGGTAGTGAGAATGCAGGATGCGTGGATCCGAGGGATTCCACCTCACAAATTCTAGGTTCGGATCCCAAAGGCGAGGCCACCAGCATAGAGGCGACTGCTCCCTGACCCCACTTTGGATTTGGTCAGAGTGTGAATTGGTAGAACACACCTCTTCCTTCTCAAGACACCCCACTCAACCTGGGTCATTTCTTAGAAAGTGACCCTGTTCCCCACTCCTGCCCCGGATGTTCACTTTCAGCCTGGAGGCTCCAGGGCCTCGTCCCACCTTGTGGACCAGGTCAGGTCGCCCATCCAGCCCACACGAGACGGTGCATCACCTCAGAACAGCCACCTCATGGGTCCAGTGCTTTACTCGCTCAGCGAAGTGGCTGGAGGCCTTGGAACGCCAGCCCCTCCTGTTAATGGGCACTGTCCATCAGCCCGCAGGAGGGGCGTGCAGGCTGAGCCCCCAGAGGGCGCTTCAGTTCCATTACTTTGTCCTGCAGAGGTGGCCTGGGTGTCTTGGTCTTTACTGAGGCCAAAAGAGGCATTATCCCCCCACCTGCCTCTTCCCGGACACAGGGCACAGGGGTATGGGCCCCGAGGCCAGCCTCCCAGCCAGTCAGTCCAGGCTCCACTGCCCGCCTTCCCACTTCGACCTTGCTTCTGTCTGTCCATTTGTTTTCCACGTCTTTCTGCCAAATGTGAATGTGTCTGTCTGGTTTGTTTCTTTTCCAACTCATTGTGTTCTCAAGACTCGGTTGGGAAGTTCATGATCAGGCTGTGCCGACTCCACGCTCGCTGAGTGCAAGCAGCGGGGGGGTTCTGCTCACTGCCAGCTACAAATAGGCTCTCCACTTCCAGTGGTCAGGCCCCTTATACTAGGACTGCCCGGAGAAAAATAGGATAACTCCTACTCAACAAAACTACCAGGTGCCTCGCGACACTGGTTTCAGTTGGCATCTGGGTGGAGGTGCCTGTGGCTTCTGTTCTGGGTCTGCAGCGGCCCAAGCCCACCCTCCTTGCCCAGGGCTCCAGGCTCCTTCCTCCCTGGAGGGATCCCCACCCCCACCTCTTTGGCCAGGGAGCTGCTGGGAACTGTTTGAGCCAACGTGCTGGTGGGAATTGAGCTTCTAGCTTCTGCTTCCTCCTCTTCCTAACTTCCTCCGGCTAATCTGCTCATTGATATTTATTCCACTGATGGATTTGGGGGGACCTCACTGGGAGGGAGGATGTCAGCTGGGCTTTTTCGCCTGGCCACTGAGTGTGTGTTCCCTGTCTTCTCCGCTGAGGGCTCAGAGTAGCTGCTCCTTGGGGAGAAATTCCCTGGTTCTGTGTTAACGTCATACTGGTGGCTAAGTTCTAGGGCCTCTGGAAGTATCCTGATGGGTGTTTTCACCCTTGAAAGTCCCTGTGGAATAAATAAGCCTCATTCCTGCCCAGCTGTAAGTCCAAATGTCCGTCTTAGGACTGGCCTCCCAGTCAGGTGGGTTGGCTCTTCACGTCCCCGTGGTGAGCTAGTTCCTCTTCGGGAACCTTCTCCTGCCACAGTCTCTGCTCGAGTGTGCTTCCCTCAGGCGGTGCACTGTCCTCATGAGAACCCCGAGACCCACACAAGCAGCCACTCTCTCCCTGCACCTCACTCCATGCCGGAGCCCCTCCCCACCACTCGTCCCTCGAGAGGTACTCGAGACAGCCTCTGCCACTCTGGTCCTGCTTCCCCTAGGAAGCCTCCTGACCCTTTGGTGGCCAAGACCAAGGGCATAGGGCGGTATGTTCGAGACTGCTTGCAGAAGGTTCTCAGAGGGGGACAATCTAAGAGGACAGGTGTTAGTGGTAAGATTAGAATTCCAAGGCCATGCTCAGTGGATGCATTTTCGAGGAATCTGAAAGATTCGCACACAGTGGTAGGTTTGTGGGCAGGGGAAGAGATTTCTATGAAAAGTAGCTCTGGGCAGTGATTCTTTAGGAACACTCAGAACTTGGATTTGTTCACGGAAATGGAAATATATTTCAACTGACTGCACAGTGGCTTACTACTTCCAGAGACATGAAGTTCATTGTGCCTCTCAGGCCTCAAACCCCTTGACTAAGATGTGACAGAAACTTTTCTCATTCATAGACGTTGAAGAGAAAATCAGAACTAAGTTTCTCTCTCGTGTGGAGAGGAGCTGAACAAAGACAACTGAACCATTACAGCCTCTGTAATGAGTGGCTGAGGTAGAGGACTTTAGCCTTGACTCTTTTCAGGGGAAGTGCAGGATTTCCCTAATTGTGCTCCCCAAAGCCGCCTCTAGAGGTCTCTTCATACTCAGTTCTCTTTCCCCCAAAACTTGGGGGATCAAATGGAAAGTTGTCCCCCTGGAAGGATTTAAAATCTCTAGACTCCATTTTCTGGCCAGAGGGCACTGACTTCAGCTGGATAGTGTGAGGGCACATGCTTCTGGAACCCTTCCCAGCGTTCCTGGGTCCTTCCTGCAGCCCTGGCCAGTGAACAAGGCCAAGGAGAAGCATCTGAGGGCAGGAGACTGGGAAGGCCAGAGGCTCCAGACCACGTCCAGGGTCTGTTCCAGAACGAGCTGGTTTGGCCTTCAGTAAGGGCTCCGTAGCTGACAGAGGTGTCTGTGCTGAGGACTCCTGAGAATCTGAGTCCCGTCAGCCGTGTCCGAGGCAGCGCCGCAGGCCCGCTCGGCCGTGTGATGGTGGCGGAGGTGGTGGTGGCGCTGCTGCTGCGTTCTTTTGTGCATGCATGTGTGTCTTCTCTCCTGTTCACCATTTGCTTTTGGTCTTTCCCACTGAACAGCCGCCGCTCCGGAGTCCTGCCCCATAAACATTGAGGACTAGGTATGACATCTAACACATTTATAAAGTGAACCAACAGCTCCTTTCCTTCTGGGGTTGCAAGACGTCCATGGCAGCACTGCCTGCTGTCTGTCCTGCTGCACTGAGCACAACAGGATGGACAGCAGGCATGCTGACCCATGTCCCAGACTGCACCGAGGAATTTCCGGGCCCTCTCCCCAGGCCCACCAATCAGCCTTCCTGGTAGAGCCTCAGCATGGATTGTTAGGGGGTCCTGGTGTGTCTGTGTCTGCCCTCGGGACAGGGTGCACGGCCCGTGCACCTGGACTGCCCTCTGGGGCTGGCCAGCTGGTGTCCAGCATGTTCCGTGGTGGACAGAATGCTGTGCTAGGCTCTGAGGCCATAGCAGGGAATAAAACATCTCCCACCCATGAGGAGTTCCCGTAGGGGAGCTTGGGTAAGCCCTTGGGTCCCACTTGCTGGGGGAGAGGAGGGAGTGCGGAGACAAGGTTCAGGAGGTCCACTGTGGCCAGACGAAAGGCCTGAGATCCTCCTTAAGGGATGAGGCCTGTACCCTGAGACCGGGAAGCTCCAACCTTCTCTTGCTGCCACAGGGAGCTTGTCTGTGGGCCAGGGGCATGAAGAGGCCGTCTGGGCACCACGTGGTGGGGTGGGCAGTGCCCGGCCCTATTAGCTCCCAGCAGCTGTGTGAGCACACTTACCATGGCATTTCTCGCCCGTCTGATGGAGGAAAGCACTGAGTGACATGCCCACGGGTGCAGTTAGGAAGTTGTAACTGGATGGACTCAAGGCCAGGCTGATGTGACAGGGGTTTAAGACAGGCCTAGGAAGTGAGCTGACAGGAGGCATGTCAGGCCGGCTCAGAGACGCTCCACAGATGAAATCTGGGTGCCCCTCACTGAAGAAGCAGGGGGGATGGTGGGCTTTGTGAGATGAACAGCTGGGACCCATGGCTTTGGGCTGCTCTCTCCTCAGCCTGCTGCTCAGATGCAGATGGAGGGAGACAGGAAGGCAAGGGTGCTGACACCACCAGGCTGCCCTTTCTGCTTGCCCCTCTTCCCGGAGCCTGCAGGGAGCCAGGCACCTGGGCCAGTGCAAACACTAACACTCAGACCCCTATTAGCATACTTTTCCTACCCCCTCCGCCCTTCCTGCCTGTGGGGAATTCTCAGCTGGACCCAGTTTCATCATCTTTCTCACAACATGTAGACAAACATCAAAACCAAACAAAACACAAAAGCGGATCCTCGGGAAAGTTGGAAAAACAAGGATCCTGTGGTGGGTGCGCTCTGACAATGGCCACCATGGCCGTGACTGCCTGGCCCTGTGAGTTGGCAGTAGCCTTGGCCTGCTAGCACATCCTGGCCACTTGTCCCCCTGCCCGGTGGCTTGCACATGCAGACGCATCCACATAACATACTCCTAGTTTTTCAGACCCTGCTGGATGCACCGTCTGGATTTTGCCGAGTTCTGAACCTGTGACCTTCTCTCCTCCAGGCACCTGGCAAGCTGATGACAACGCTGTTGGCTGGAGGAGTGGCCAGCACCCAAGTCTATCATCCAGCAGCCTGGACGACCCCGAGGACAGGCCTTGTGTGTGGGGCCCATTAGCAATCTGAAGAACCCTGCACCAGAGTCCCTGGCCATCCTTTCATTCCGTCCTGTCCTCACTGGGCCACTGGCCGCCACGGCACCCTCATCTTGCCTCGCATGGAAGCTGGGTGGTGAGGCTAGACTGCTGCTCTTCCCAGCCTCGTCTCCCTGTAGCCATGAAGCCCTGCTTCTCCTGAACTGTGGCTCCTGGGAGCCGGTGCAAACTAGGAAGAATCCACCGTGTTTCATCTTCAGAGGAGCCGAGGCCTCAAGCCTGGTAGTTTCTTGTGCATCGTTTCTGCCCGTAGAGCAGGAGACTTAAGTTTTGGCAGCTTTCTTACAGACACCCATTCCACCTGACATGTTTCTGGAACATTCTCTGGAACATCAATTTTCAACTCTGCTCTGGGTGGGGTTGGGGATGACTGGGAAGTAAGGGAAACAGCCTTACTGCCCCAGGTGTAGCATCTCCCAAGCACCAGGAGCTCCAGCCTCATGTTCACAAGCCATGGTGGCTATCTGGTCAGAAAAATAGTCCTTCCTCACTGTAGCAATGCCCAGCTCTCTTGGCCCTGGTGTCCACCTGCTTTGGATGACCTCAGATCTGAGGTCAAGGTGAGGACCTTTCCGATCACGTATTCACAAACCGGCCCTCCACCCTAAGAGCCACATCAGGGAGCGACCATTGTGCCAGGCACCAGGAGGCACTGTCACCTCACAGCACCTTTCATCTTCAGCACAGCCTTGTGAGGAGAGGCTTCTAACCTGCCCGTGGCTCCATTCTCTTTGTTTACAAGCGAAGAAATAGGCTTGGAGAGTTAGAGACCCAGTTCTCAAATTGGTGCCCAGGAGCCCCAAAAGAAGTGGAGGGCCTGTGCTAAGTCCAAGGGGACTGTGCAGCAGCCTGTGATCTGGGAGTTAAGCCATCACCCCCCTGGACCCCCTCTCCTGCCTTCCAGACTTCCTCAATCTGGGGCTGGGCGTTGATGGGAGAGGGGCAGTCCCTACCAATCAAGGGGATTCTTCCTAGGCTCATTATCGAGAGTTTTGGAGACCATGGTGTTCAAATTACATGGTCCCACCCGGGAAGCTGCGTATAAACCAAAGCTTTGAAACAGCAAGCCCAATGCCTTCCGGACCCTGGCAGCAGTAACAGCCCCCTGGCTCTTGAAGAGATACTGCATCCATGGGCTTAGAGGAAGACAGTGGAGCATGAGTTTGAGGGAAAGTTAGACATCACAGTCTTCGGAGGCAGAGCTGTGAGGGAGCCTAGGGAACCAGTACTTCAGAAGAGCTTGCTGAGGCACAGTACAGCACCCTTTGCATCTTGTCCTTGGCTGCAGCCAAGGAAGGAGGTATGGTTCACACCTACTCTGGCCAAGGGAAGCTCTGTTATCCCAAGTAAGAAGTGTTCTCACCAAACCCAGCCCAAGGCTTCTGCCCGTTCCATGTCCAGCCTCTCGAATACCTCAGTGGACTCCGGCCTTTCTTTCCCCTATATCCTACAGCCCCTTTCACTCATTGGGGTGAGCTGAGCGATAACCCCACTTCCACTTCTGTGAGGTTGGAGCCCCCCACATGCAGCAGGCAGTGGGAACACACAGGGCCAGCTCCCTCTCTGCAGGCATCGTCAGTGTGGTGTGACCCGGGAGGATCCTGGGAAGGATGAAGGAGTCAGGTAAACAGTAGCCACAGGGTCCAAGAACCCCAAGAGGAAGCCAGTGTCATCACCTCATCCTCCAGGATCTGGGCCCTTCCTCACAGAATGTGCTTAGCCCAAACCCAGGACATGTTTCAGAAAGCCTGAAGGAATCCAGGGCGTGCCTGGCCTTGGGCTGTCCCCTCTGCCCTAGGCACCAGATGGACACGTGTTAAAAGGGTAACTCCTGGTTTGTTGGCTGTTTCCTTTCTCACCTGTTTTCATTTAGCTCTGTGGTCAGAATATCCCATACAAAGGACTTGTCCTCAGTCTACCTGATGGAACCCAGGGTCAGGGTCCTTCCTGTGGCCCCTGGCCTGCAGGGATGCAATCCTGTCAAAAGCAGCTCATGAGAGAACTGGAAGGTCAGCCTTCCCACCAGGTGCACAGCTGACCAGACCCCAGAGGCCCTGGGCTGCTTCTTGCCCCTCGTCTTTTGGGGGCCACCATTCATACCCACTTCACACCACTCAACTGAAGGCTGCCTCCTGGATACATACTCACACAGAGGGCTGGTTGACCTGTCTCTGGCATGCTGGTCACTCACTTCCCTTTAGCACAGACAGTGGCAGTGACCCAGTGTGTCCAGTTTGTGCCCTGTGCACCCCTCTACTCCCTGAAGGACACCTGCGGGCACCTTACAGTGAGGACCTCAAGGATGCAATATTTATGGATTGCTGCATGATTCTCAAAAATGAATAAAGCTGTTTACAAGGGAAGGAGATCTGTGCTGTGCTGCTAACCCAAAGGCAGGCAGTGGGAATCCACTCTGCTCTGCTGGAGAAGGTGGGCCACCTCCCTGAGATTAACTGCCTCTGAAAACCTGCTGCAAGGTCGGGCTCTTGGTCAGTTCCCACATGGTACTCCACAACTTGCCTTCTGATATGAGGGGGCACGTGTAGAAGTTACCCGGACAGTCGCTAGGTCTCTCGGACTTGCTGGGCATCTTTCAGAACCCGCACCCCAGCTGGTCTGCAGAGGCCGCGTAAGGCCCCCCTACCTTCTGTTGCCTTAAACTGGAGAACTCCCAACAGGCAGCCCCTCAATAATTAAAGGGCAGGGGAGCTGGTGACAGGAGGGCGGCGTGCGGCTGCCACCCCCACATCCCGTGTCATTTAAGGGTGTTGAGGTCGATGGGGCACATGACCCGCTACGGCAATAGGTCCATAGCTTTTCTGAGTCTCACCCCCAGTTCTGTTTGCTCAGCCGTCTGGAAAGGGGAGACCACGGAAAAGTCTGCAACATCAGCTCCCCAGAAAGGAAGGGAGCCGCTTACCGGAAACACCGGTTGCCCTAGCCGCCTCGGTGCGCCAGCGGTCGGTGCGCCACGTCTGCGCGCCGGAGCGGCGGGTGGCATCACCCGGTGGCACGGGAGGAACAGGCCGGGGGAGAGGAGGATGCAGAAATACGAGAAGGTGCCACTGGCGGCCCCGCGCCGAGGAGAGCACGCCCCGAGGATACGGTTCCCAGCCCCGCGCCCAGACTCCCGGGAGCGGCGGCGGCTCGCGGCCCCGGGCGGG